AGCAGGCGGCAGCAGCTGCTCCCCACGGCAGCAGGCACAGCAGCCCAAAGCAGTGCAGGGGATGCACTGTGGCCACGTGTCCCACAGACATCCCTGGCATTTGTTCAAGTAGATTTTAAGGACGAGCCCATGAGACTCATGCACATAGAAAAGGCTATTTCTAATACAGCCGCCTCCTGAAAACAACCTGGCTGATGTTTCTTTATCTTCAATGACCCTTGAAACCAGGACAGAACTTAGCAAGAGTCAGGACCTCATTGAGAAAAAGTCTGTGGCTGAAATACTAGAAACAGCCTGCATCAGGCAGCACAAGAAGTAGATGTCTGTAGGGCAAGCACCCAAGAGTGGGGAAGACAAATAAAACTAAGCAAAGGCTGTCTCATAGTTTCTGCCTGTTCCGTGCCTCCAAGGCTCTAGCTCTGGCCATCACACTGAACCCCTTGGCCCACCCCACACACTCACAGCCCCATTCAGCAGCTTGCACCCGCCGTGACATTTTGTATTTTCAATATTACAAGGAAATGAATCTGGTGTTGACTGACAGCACTGGCAAAGGGAGGGAGTGCTCAGCATCACTGCTGCCAACCCACCAGCAGCAACTGCCAGGAAAAATGCACCTCGGTTACCCCTGGGACTCAGCTCAGCAGCAGCCACATCGCACCAGGATGAGGGGCTGGAGCATCTCTCTTCTGTCTTACTACCAGACGGTAGATCATGAGTGTACTGTGTTTTAAATACGTAGCAGGAAGACAAGTACCATGTTTTGGAGATATCTTTAGGCATTATCACAGCCAACGAAAGCTGTGAACAGGAACATCCACCCCTCTCTGCAGTCACTGACACTCCAGCATCACCCAACATGAACAGGGTCAGGATGTTTGGTGTTTACACAAAGTTAACACACTGCACAAGCATCCCATTTACTGCTACATGTTCCCTTCCCTGCAGCTCAGGGATCCATGTCTGAGACTCTGGAGAGCCGAGTGACCCACAGTCCTATCCAAGGCAGAGGTGAGCTTGGGAAGTGCTGCCGCAACCATGGCTGAGCCAGCCATGCTTCTGAACCCTGCCAAAATCAATAGCCATGGGGCAGAACTATTATGTTCTGTAAATCCTGGCAGACCACAGACCTAACAATACTCTCTCCCATTAGAGATGAGAAAGCGTCTGCAGTCAAACAGCAGGATTAGCACTCTCCCTGCAGGACCTGCTGTATGGTGTGAGGTAGATACACGTTCTGCTGCCTGGCGTGACCATACCCATCATCAGGCACAAGGAAGAATGCACTTTGCTGTGTTGTGTTTCCCTCTCACATGTTGCTTTGATTTGGAAACTAAACTGGAACTGTGTATCTTGTACTCCTTTCCCCCTCCCAAAGAGCCCTTGCATCCTCCTTGGGCTCATGCGGGCTGGCAGCTCCCACACCAGCAGCCCACAGCTGAGCCTGCAGCTCCCTGCAAGGACAAGAAAACTGTAGGTCCCATGCCAGGCGTGAACGCTGTGAGGAAAGCAGGCAGGAACAACCAGGGTGCTTCGGGAGGGCAGGCAGTGTATGAGCGGCAAGAACAAAGAGGGCTCTGCCTGCTGGGTGATCTGGTGTTTCTTCTCTGTAGTATTTTTGGCTCATCTTTCCTGCTTGGCCACGGGCTGCCTGGGGCTGAGACACCCACCCAGCAGACACGAACACTGCATCTCCTGCCTTACAGGCTACAAATTAATTGCCTTGTTCTTGGGAAGCTGCTCTGCAACCCAGTAAACTAATTAAATTGTGAAACAGTAGCCCGGATCCCCGCTCAAGGGCAAGGCCAGACCTTTTGGCTGCAGATGCAGAGAGCTTTCCCCATCCTCTCCCTCTGCACAGGCAGGGACTACAAAGTGCTCCATGGACTAAGAAAAATGGTACTGCAGAGCAGCTTGGTGCCAACGAGGAGCACACACAGCCCCAACAAGCAGCCCCGGGGCTCACAGCAAAGCCTTTATCATATCCAAGTAGGGAATTACTCATTCTTCTGAGATTTAAATGCAACTGGAGCAGGGAGAGGGAAGGCTGTAATTACATCAGCACTGGGGAGCCCTGTGGTGTGGAAACTTCCGAGTGCCCACAGGACAGTTACAAAGGCGCCGTTGAACCCCGAGTGCCAAACTGATGGTGTATTCAGGTCACTCTCTGTGTCCTGACACTTGTTAGTCCCAATCTTCCTAAAGGACATGACATTCTTCACCTCCTGCTAAGCCCTCCACTCCCAACTTTAGCTGAAGAAAGCCTAAGGGCTGGGATAAAAAGGACAGGAACGTGGCTAAACCTTCCAACAAGGGCTGCAGGGACCCCAGCTCTGCCACCCGCTTCCTGCCTGACCTGGAAGAGGAACCCTTGTGCTCTCAGCTTCCTCAGCTACCCAGAGGAAAAGCACCACGGTGCTCCGTCCAAAGGCAAGGCTGGCTTTGCCAGGAGGCGGTGAAGCTCTCCCAGCCCACAGCTATACACCATCCCCACGCAGCCTCTGGATAAGCTCCCATCACGGCCCCCAGAGCTCCACTACTTCTTGGTTGGTTTTTTTCTAGAAACCGCTGCACGAAGCTCACTTTGGGTCGCTGCCAGGATGCGAGTGCGCAGGGACCGAGCTGCTCTTCCAGAACTCCGCTCAGGAAGATGAGCTCCCCCGAGCCGATCTCTCAACGCCTGCTTCAGACACAACCTCCCCCCTCCTTCTGCCCGTCTCTCACTCCCATATCCATCTGGCAGCAGCACGATTCTCCATGAGCTTACTTTCTTGCCTGAAAAAGCCAGAAAACAGGGCAAGAGCCCCAGGCACCCAGGGAGAAGGCATCCCCATCCACACTCCAAGAGGAGGCAACGCTGTCGGGCAGCTGGAGCTCTGCCACGGGACGACTGCGAAGCTTTCGAGGGCGGGCAGCTCCCGCTATGGACATATTGGAAACGCGGGTTCGTTATCTGCCTCCCAGCTACTCCGCGGCTGTGTCTGCATCCAAAATTTGGGAGTCAACAGAAGGCCAGTGCTTGGGGTTTCACAGACTTTTAGTCTTGTCAGGCTTGTGCTTACAGCTAAAAACCTGCATAAACCAACTTGGGAAAGGCAGGAAGGGAAAAAACATCCCGTAAGATCCTGCCTTAACAGAT